CACATGGGGTTGGAGCCACATCGTCTTCTGTACATGGTGATAACCTTGTGACCACACCGCTTGGACCTATACGAGACAATGCTCATGACCATGGGACCACGCCTCTTGGGGCTATGCGAGATATTGCACATGAACATGGGGCTACACCACTTGAATTAATAAACGTTCACCATGATGCGCATGATGATGCGCAAAGTCCAAGTAATAGTGCCCTTGGCGTGGTGCCCACTCATGTTGAGACTTCAACAAATGTATGCGTTTAAGAGTTAAATATTGATGCACATGGCATGGTGCCCACCCATGTTAAAGAATTAAATGTGCACGGTTCACATGGGAACCAAGGTTCGGCAAATACATGGGTCCGAGAAGAAAATGATATTGAAAGTGGTGGTGGCTCACCTGTTGAAGAATTAAATAATCATGCGCATGGTGCAGAGCAAGGTGCGACAAACACAAGGGTCCAAGAAGAAAATAATGCAAATTTAAATATTGAATGTGGTGGTGGCTCACATGGAGTCCAAAGTGCGGGAAACGTTGATAATGTGAGTAATTTTAATGGAAGAATTACACACGCACATGGGATTGATCATTATACGCGAGATTCCAATGCACACGCACATGGGACAATTGCACATGTCGTAGTCCAAGGAATAGATAGTGGTGCGGCAAATAATAATGAAAATGGGATCGACCATTATATGCGTGAATTCAATGCTCATGCATATGGGAGTAGGTGTGATGAAAGTTCACATGGGGTCCAAGAGGGAAATTATGACGGTGAGGCAAATACAAACAATAGGAGTAGTGGAAATGGCAGTTCACACGGGGTCCAAGAAACGAGTGTTGAAGTTGAACCCGGTGTGGAGATTGATGTACCACAAGCAGTCTCCAATGTACATCCCATGATGACTAGGAGTAAGCATGAAATCTAGAAGCCGAAAGTTTACAACATTGCAAGTTCAGATCGAGAACCAACAAGTATAACAGAGGCCCTGATGAGTTCTCATTGGAAAGAAGCTGCACAAGTTGAGTTTGATGCCCTGGTAAGGAATGTCATATGGACTCTAGTTCCTCTTCTTAAAGACAGGAAGGCAGTAAATTGTAAATGGATTTTTTGAATAAAGCGAAATGCTGATGGTTCAATTTCAAGGTATAAAGCACGTTTAGTGGCAAAGGGTTTCCTTCAGAAACTGGGAATTGACTTTGATGAAGTTTTCAGCTCGGTGGTCAAGCCTGCAACGGTCAGGGTAATCATTTCCTTGGCTTTGTCACGAGGATGGAAGCTGAGACAGATCGATATCAACAATGCCTTCTTGAATAGGTTGTTGACTGAAGAGGTGTACATGACTCAACCACCAGGATATGAGCAAGGAAATGGTGAGCTGATATGTAAGCTACACAAGGCGATTTATGGGCTCAAACAAGCACCGAGGGCCTGGTTTAAGCGACTGAAGGCATACCTGGAGTCTGAAGGTTTTTGCCTAGCTAAGTCGGATGCCTCTCTTTATGTTTGAAAGACCTCGGATAGTTTGGTGCACTTACTGGTGTACGTTGATGATATCATCTTAATAGGGGATAAAGAGGTGGTTGTTCAAAGTGTTATAGACAGACTGAATGCTCAGTTTTCGTTGAAAGATCTTGGATCATTGAGTTTTTTCCTAGGAGTGGAAGTCAGTTATGAAGGTTGTGATGTTGTTTTGAGTCAACAAAAGTATATTCAAGATCTTCTACAGAAGCATGGTTTTGGTGAAGTGAAAAGCCTTCCCACCCCTATGGTCTCTAACATCAAGCTGTCATCCAAGGAAGGAACACCACTTGAAGATGATGCACGATATAGAAGCATTGTAGGTTCCCTGTAGTACATTGTGATTACTCGACCTGATGTGGCGTTTGCTGTGAGCTGGGTGTGTCAATTCATGCAAGCCCCACTGGATGTTCATTTTCAAGCAGTCAAGCGAATACTTCGTTATCTACAAGGCACAGTTGACTTTGGACTACGGTTTATACCCTCATTGAGAATGGCTTTGACTGGTTTTACAGATGCAAATTGGGGCTCAGATGTTGATGATAGACGGTCAACCTCGGGGTTCTATATATATTTTTGTGGGAACTTGGTCTTGTGGAGCTCTAGAAAGCAACAGGTTGTTGCACGCTCAACTGCTGAGGCTGAATACAGAAGTGTGGCTTGTGCAGCTACTGAGATGGTGTGGCTTCGATCGTTGTTGGGGGAATCGCATGTAGTTTCACATGGTAAGTCCACATTGTGCTGTGATAATACAAATGCAGTGGCAGTATGTGCTAATACTGTACTTCATTCCAAGTTCAAACATGTTGAGTTAGATTTGTTTTTTGTTCGAGAAATGGTGGCTATGGGACAGCTACAAGTGCATGAAGTTCCTGCAGTTGAGCAGGTTGCTGATGTGCTGACCAAGCCTTTATCAACATATTTGTTTTTCAAACACACACAACGGTTACTGGTGATGCAACTTAAAAGCAGATCAATTTGAGTTCTGGAAAAGTTTTGAAGTTGAAGGTTGCAAGGGGAATGTTAGTGTAAATGAATGTATGGCATATAAGCACACGTGCAACTGCTGTGCATGATGATGGTGCAGTTGAGGATTGATACACTGTAACAGATTAGTTGAAGCAGCTAGTTTGTTGAAGTCAGTTACATCATTAGTAACAACTATAGTACTCACTATAAATTCACTCCTTAAGTCTTGTAAAACTCACCCTTTGAAGATAATAAAAATCTCAGAATGATTTCTCTTTTCTTGTTTCACATTCTTACTCTCATAGTTTAGACATCATTTGCTAATCTTTACACTCGCAACTGCTGCAAAAACCAATCTTAAGCCTGTTACATTGGAGCTTGGAGGAAAGTCGCCTTTCATTGTATGCAAGGATGCTGACGTGGACAAGGCTGTTGAGTTGGCTCACTTTGCTTTGTTCTTTAATCATGTATGTCTAGGAAAAATGCTTTTCTAACACCAAATTTAGTTTCTATATTGGGATTCTGTTTATGGATTGTAGTTATAAACCCTTTGTTTGCAGGGACAATGTTTCTGTACCGGATCCCGGACTTATGTACACGAGAGTGTGTACGATGAGTTTATAGAGAAGGCAAAGGCACGTGCGTTGAACCGTAGCGTTGGTGATCCATTCAAGGCAAGGACCGAACAAGGTCCCCAGGTAAACAGAACAATTTCTTCAATGAAGTAGATCTCATGTCATACTGACACCAATGAAAATGCAATGTTGTCATATTGATACTAATTCATACTGAAATCAGATTGATTCGACACAATTCAAAAATATCCTGAGGTACATAAGATCTGGTGTCGAAAGTGGAGCGATTCTTGTAGCCGGAGGAGAGAGGGCTGGGAACAAGGGCTACTATATTCAGCCCACTGTTTTCGCCAACGTAAAGGTATGCAATTTACAACTTCATCCGGTAACCAGATTGCAAAGAATGCTATTGAATACTATAGGTAACCGATAAAAATTTCCACCTTTTATCAAGAAGATATGTTGATTGCACAGGATGAGATATTTGGTCCAGTTCAATCAATCCTGAAGTTCAAGTAAGCAATCAACCTTGCCTTTGGCTCTACGATTAGGCTATAGTAATCTCTATCAATGTTCCCTTAATCACAAGGACATGGATGAACTTATTCGGAGGGCAAATTACACGAGATACGGACTGGCAGCCGGTGTCTTTACCAACGACTTAGAAACAACAAACACCTTGACTCGGGCACTGAGATTCGACACTGTTTGGATAAACTGCTATGATGTGTTTGATGCAACCATTCCATTTGGCGGGTACAAGATGAGTGGACATGGGAGAGAAAAGGGTGTTCACTGTCTGAGCAATTACTTGCAAGTCAAGGCAGTTGTGACTAAATTGAAGAACCCAGCTTGGATGTAGAGATCCCTTTCACCAACTTTTTATCTTTATTTGCTTACTTTATTGGATGAAGGAGGAAATTACAGGAATAATTTAGTTTATGTAGTGATTTTATCATAGAACATATGTTTATGGCAATTTTAAACAACTTGTGCCATGTTCGGTACATAAATAATAAGTGATATAAGAAAAAATAATTATTACATTAATTTAAAAATAATTATTGATGAAAAGAATGAGATTATTGTGGAGTTTGACATTTCTCCCACTTTTATTTGGACGAAGAGTCGTAGATAATAATTAGATGAAGGAAGTAGAGAGTTGTTCTCAGGAAGATGAACAATGAGGGAGACTCGTTCTCATATAAGGAAAAAAGATTATTCTTTGAACCTTATATGGTGATTTTTAGTATTAATGTCAAACATAAAGTGATGGTGACTATTTATAATTATAGGAAGAGTAATTGGAGTCCAACATGTTAGATTTTGTTATAATTTTTTGGTACCATTGTCATGTTATGAACGAGGGCGACCTAAGGGGGAGCACTCTTAGCAACCACTCAGGGTCTCCAATTTTTTATATTTATAATTAGGACCCCTAATTTTTATAATTTCATAAAAATATTTAGTTTTTGACCCTCTTTTTACATTTCTCTTATTTATTCATTCAATTTTGAATTAAATTTAATCATGTTTTTATCCTTTTTTTTTTCCAAATCTTACTCTTCAATTTATCAAATATTCTTTAATTTTTTTATCTTCTACAATCTCAATCAAACAATAAAATAATATACTATTTTATTTATTTATTTATTATTCAAAATCAAGCTATGTATCACATATGCATTCAATTTTTTTTTTATATTTATTCTCTTTTAGTTGTATTTAAGTGTTTTTTAATAAAATAATAAAGATAATATATTCTCACAAAATTTAATTATTTTTTTATGATTTATTAATCTAAGTAATGAAATATATTTTCATTTTATAAAGACACATATTTGAGTCTGAAAATGTCTGAGGCGGTTCTGTTGTGAACTTATGATGCTCATGCTTTGCCTTTTTAGCTTCATACTGAAAAGTGAAAACCCAATGTGATATGCATTGACCGTCGCACCAGTATTTACAGATGAGAAGCATGCTAATACATAAACGTTGTCAAACAATACAACAAATGGTGGTGGTTTCCGGGGGCGGGGCGGAACCTACTTCAAGATTTGCAGGGAGAAAGCGGCTTCCCGCATAAACCTCTGTTTCCTGTGAAACAGCTCTGAGGAAAGTCACTAAGTGGTTTTCCAGCAGGGATTTCCCCGACCAAAAGATTGTCCGACAAGTCCAAATACTTGAGGTTTTTGAGGTTCAAAAACTCCACCGGTATTTTACCGGTAAAACTGTTTCTCTGTAGCTTCAACGTCTCCAAATGGCTTAGATTTGCTAAGCCCTCCACCAAACCGGAACCCAACTTGTTGTGGCTCAAATCCAAGCATTTCAATGCCTTCAATTTCGCCACTGAAGTTGGCAATCGACCCTTTTGTAAATTATGTGATAAATTAAGATATTCAAGTCTTTCCAATGTCCCCACGCCAATGTGCTCGATTGCACTCGTGAAGCTGTTATCGGATACGTCAATGTAGGTCAGTGAACCACCAGGGAAACTGGTTCCCATCTTAAAAACATGTTCCAATGAGCCTGTTAGATTGTTTGAGTGAAGGTCTAACACCCCTAAGGCCTCGAGATTGGCAACTGAAGCCGGAATACTTGAACTGAGACGGTTCCTTGAAAGATTCAATGAATAGAGTTGAGTGAGGCTTCCCATCCATGTCGGTATCCCATCGGTGAGATCATTAGACGATAAGTCCAGTTCCTGTACCGGACTTGGTGTCAATCTCAATGAGTCCGGTATTCGGCCTTTGATTCCGCTTCCTGCTAAGAAGATTCTCGAAAGAGACGGTAACTCCGATATCCACATTGGAATGGAGCTTAGATTCAAGTTGTTGAAAGAAAGGTCCAGTGTCTGCAAATTCTGGAGAGCAGACATTTCATCAGGCAATGGTCCTTGAATCGAGTTACGAGAAAGGCTCAAAAGTAAGAGACGAGAAAGTAGGCCGATTGACTTCGGTATGACACCGGACAACTCGTTGCCGCCGAGATACAACTCTGTCAAAGCTTTTAGACTACCCAAACTAGAAGGAATTGCTCCTTCGAGCTTGTTGTTTTCAAGAGAAACCCTCTTGAGGGAAACCAGAAATCCAATGTTGGGCGGTATTTTCCCACTTATTTGATTGTTTTGTAGCCTTAAAAATCCAAGCATTGGCATTTGACCATAATTTGATGGAAATGGTATCTCTCCCTCTAGATGATTACAATCCAAATACATGACTGAAATGGATGTTAAATTGTTAATGGAAACTGGGATTTTCCCAGTCAAGAAATTTTCAGAAAGATCAAGCTCTTTCAAGAGCTGCAATTCACCAATATTTTCTGGTATATTACCAGTGAGGGAATTGCTATAAAGGTCGAAATGCATGAGATTTGTCAAGTTGGAGAATGAACCAGGGATACTACCAGTGAATCCATTTGAATGAAGAAGCAAAGCATTAAGATTTTTAAGACAACCAATGCCAGGAGGAAGATATCCAGATAATCTATTCTCGTGCAGGTGAAGTTCTTCGAGTTTCAAGAGCTTACCGATGCTGTCTGGCACCGGTCCTCTCAGCTTGTTCCCATAGAGATAGAGCTGTTTGAGGTTCTTGAGACGACCGATCGATGCTGGAATTCTCCCGGTAAGGCCTACGAGTCCTCCGAGATCGAGAACTTCAAGAGATGTAAGGAGTGTGATTGATGAGGACAACCAACCTTCCATCTGAGACTGAAACACGGAATCGGTCGTGGAAATGAATCCCGGGAGATGAACTCCGGTGACTCGACCGGTTAGATTGTTGCAGGCAACGCCCTGCCACCTACAACAACTACGACCGGCCCATTTCACTAGCCTACCCGAAGTGTCCGTATGGATTCCGCCCCTGAAACTGGCTAGTCCTTTAAGGTCACCAAGGTCGCATCCTCGGACAATGCTTGTTGCTGCCATCATAGTCAGTGCTAGAAGCAGCCATAACATATGGCAGCCCATCTTCGTTTCCAAATCTACGCTAGAATTTGCTCACACTATTATCAGTGGGAGTGAAAGAAGAAAGTGAGCTTGAAATTAAGAAACAAGAGCTGGTCCAGGACATTTTATCTTTTGTCCTTACTTTATGCTAAAAAAAAGCATGTGTTTAGATCATGATGTCCTTTGATTTTAGTTAAAGTGAGTTACTTTAGCAGACAGATTCGATATATAAATTATTGCAATAAAATAACAAAATGCATTTCCATTGGTCCATGTTCTTCAAAGCCGATAATGTTACAGATTGGCACACAGCACAACAGCGAGAAGAATACACAGATAGGGACGACCAACAGGACAATGTAATATGTTTTTGTAGTATCTACACTCAAACTTGGAGTTTGTGAAGCATGTTCTATAATTGAGACCTTGCAACGACAAAAATATTTTTTTTCTATAAAAATAAATTTGTTTACTTTTAAATTTAATATTTGATATCTACACAATTCATTCTCTTTTCATTCATATTAAATAAATAAGAATACCGTTATATACATTCTATTCAAACCATGATGTAAATGACTTATTTTTTTGGTCTGTCTTATTTTAGTCATTAGTTTTGAAAAAAAAATTATGTTATAATAATTTTTAATTTAGATTTATTTTATTTTGGTCACTAAATCATTAATTTTTTTTAGTTTGACGATGTAGTAAAAATGTTAAAATTTTAATTTGATTCCTAAATTTTAGATGAAATATTAATTTTACCATAAATTTTAAATAAAATACTAATTTGACTATTGAATCCTAACAAAGTCTTTTGTCATTCTCTTGTCGTGGTTTTAGTCTTAGTCTTAGTGAATTTATCCTAAATACTATTTTTTTTAACAATGACAACTGAATTTCATTAATAAAAATAGAGGAATCAAAATTACAACGTATCTAATGAGAAAATTGGAGACAGTAGTCACTAAAAACTCATACTTAAAACTAAAATATTAAGCCCAAAGATACGAAGAGAATGAAATATTCTAAACATCAAAACAATCCAGTAACTTTCATAAAACTCATTGTCTCTGTCGAACAAGACGCTTTACAATGTGATAAAAGAGTGGTGAGCGAACCAAACAATTTGGCAGACTACTTCGCTACACAATTCTGATTATATCGGCACACGACCATTTACAAAAGAGGGAATCTGACAATACATGACCACCGATAAGTCAATCAAAAAACAAATGCCGTGAGGATATTTGTGGAAGCTCCAACACGACTGCAAAAGTATGCAAAAAACTTACTGAAAATCATAAGAAACGTGCCACAAGAACAGAGAAAAGCGTGTCACAAGGACAAAGATTCTTATTAAAAAGTGAAAAACTCAAGAAAAAAAAACATAATATGAAAATGAACTAGAAAAATAAAAAAGCACCGGCAATTAGCAATTATTATTAAGATTGGTGTCGCCGTCTGCTAAATAAAAAACAAAGGAAGAAAAGAAGACGACACAAAAATATTGAGAGAAAAAATTAGGTTAAAGAAAAGAATACATCTTAAACACTCTTTTAATTTAGTCTTAGTGAATTTTTTAATTAAGAAGAATGAATAAAAGATGATACATGTTTAGAGACTCAATCATTTGACAATAAATACTCATATATCTATGTATACGTGGTGTTCAAATCTAAAACCTCAAAGAATAACAATAATTCTTTAATTGAAGTAGTTTTATTCGTGGGGTCTTAATATAATTTCTGATTCACTATAGACATATTTCGCTGTGTTAAAATTTGACCGTCGTTGTACAACAATCGACTGTGCGTAGGTAATAGAATACTTGAAAAGACAAGTAGCTAAAAAGGGCCAAGGGTGTTAAGACAGTTGTTTCTTTTTGGATGTTTTAGTATCCAAGGACCGATCACTGGTCAACCAAATGATGCAGATAAAGCTGCATCGAAACTAAAACGAAAGGAATATGAAGTTCAATCATCTAACGCAATGCGTTGTACATGAAATTGTTTTTTTCCCTGTTGTATGTGATAATGTGTAAACCTGCTGAAGACCGAGGGGACCCATTGGCGTCGGCACCTGCTCGATCTCTTCCCAAATGTTCTGATCATCGGAAAGCCAAAGGATCGGAGTCTCGGTTTGTGTCATTAATATAAGTGTAGCAAACCTTTCCCTTGCCACACACATATCGGCTGTTAGGCTTGCCATTTGTGTCAGTTTCTCAAAAAGTTCCAGAAACAAGATAAAATTATAGAGGAGAAAACGTAAACTTATGAACACGACATTTTTTTCGCCCAAGTTCTTGTTCGAATTCCATTCATCAAGCTCGAAAAGATGACATTTCTTCTTCTTCTTCTTTCAGATTGCATGCTTATGTCAGTACTAAGGAAATCAATATATTACCTGGAAAATTGGTAATGGAAACCATTTAGGTTCCTCAGTATGGCTATCATATGTAAGAGAGTGCTGAAGGAGAGCTGCTGGGCACTACGTTCATCCTCGACAACTTCAAATGAAGGGGATCAGAGGAGGCGCGGGGAGACTCAGTTGACAGCTCCTCAACATGGCTGCCATAAGTTGAACTCCGACGGGCACGGAATGCTTCGAGCGACTTTTCATCCTGCGGGGGTCATACGAACCATAAAGGTTCCTGGTAAATAGGTAATTTAAAATCAATCGGTGTATGCTCGATTATATATATAGAGTCTCCATAAAGGTCTTATCCATACGAACCTAGGCGGAAGGCAAGTAATAGCGGAAATAAATAATTTGGAGGCTCTTAGGCGACTCGAACAAGGAGGAAACTCATAGTCATCTACTTCGTTTCTCGATCATATTTTTAAGCTTCTAAATAGAGATGGAGAAGTTTCTTTGCGCCATACCTCCCGAGAAACTAAAGAAATAACTGACAAAAATGGTTAAGATTGCAAAGATGAGTGTCGTGGAGAATCAAGTCTTTATTAGACATCCGGTGGAAGTCCTATCAACCCTTTATATGAATTGCAATGTATTACACCTTTGATGTTCTAGTTTTCTAAAAGCTCTTTTCATAAAAAAATATTGAGATTTTTTTACCCAGCTGTTGAACTCAATACTCTCTCTATCCCATCAAAACAGTCTCTTTTCATTTTTAAAATTTATAATTCAAAATGTACTATCATAAAAGTCAACAAATAACAACACATATATATTTTTTACCCTTATATGTCTCACTTTTCTACACATTAAAATAAATTGATTAAATCTATCGATACCTTTTAGGGATAATTTTGACATTTCCTTAGTCAAATATATATCCTATAGTTATATGCATAGTCAATACAAGACACAAGTTATTGGACGGAAGGAATAATTGTTATTGTACAATTTTACTCATTCTCTACATATACAAATTGATAGCCTCCCTTTTCATATCATACACACTCAAATTATTATTTTTTATTTTCTCTTTGTTTTCATTGCATTTTCTTCGGAATAACATTGATTGGTTTAATATTATTTATTAATTAATACTAATTGTTCTTTTGTAATTTAATATGATTATAAGGTAATATCTGTTTAATTTTTTTAGTTTATTGATGATGCATAAACACCATGCAAAAGCAACTACTCAAACATAAATCCTTAAAGAAAAATATCATTCTCTTTTACCATTAAAACCACTTAATAAATTTTTTTACAAAGAATTCTAATTTTTTTTATATCTCTTTGTATTAGCTAATAAATAAAAATAAATATTTACTAGTTTATTAAGGTGGGTATATCCCCATAGGTGAGCTGGCATAACCAATTAGATTCTTCTAGTAGGTCTTTTGTAAAAAGGATAAAAATAGGTTTATGTGAAATGAAAAAAAAAAACCAATGCATTTTGATTGTGTATGAGAAAGTTTAACATGATGTTAGAGCATAGGTGAAGGCCATTTTGTCGTTGGTCGCAACATATGAGTGGAAGTTGCAACAAGTCACGTTAACAATGCATTTCTTAATATTGGGGAACTCAATGAGAAAGTGTTTATGGTGCAGCCCAATAATTTAAAAAATCTGTTGCCAATGGCTCTAAGTTGGTATACAAGTTAGAGAAAGCGTTGTATGGTCTCAAATAGACTCGTCGAAGTTGGTATGTCAAGTTACGAACCTTCTTAATTCGGATTGGTGTTCACGGTACTCAAGCTGATGCTCCTTATTCATTTGGCTTCTTGGTGATAAGGTGGTGTATATTCTCATATACGTTGATGATATTATCATCACGGGTCATGATGATACCAATGTTGAACAAATGGTGACACTCTTAAGTCACGAATTCTCTCTAAAAGACTTAGGGGAATTGAACTACATTTTGGGTCTGAAGGTTAAACGAAATGATCAGACACTTATCTTACGATAGAAGAAGTTCATTCTAGCTTTACTTGAAAAAATTAGCATGTGTGGTGCTCATCGAGTTCCTACCCTAATGGTGGTATCTTCCAAACTAAGTAAAAATGGTAGAAGTCTTTTACGAGATGCTCAAATGTGTAGAAGTGTCATGGAGACTCTCTTATATCTCAATCATACACGACCAGACATTGCCTTCAGTGTGAATCGTGTTGCTCATTATATGCATGTCCATTGTGAACAACATTGGATAGTCGTGAAGCGCATTCTCCGCTACCTCAGTGGGACTCTTGATTATGGGTTAACCTTCCACAAGAATAGCACTCAACGCTCGGTCTCTAGATCCACCATCGAATTTGATTATCATGGGATCGTTGAAGTTGTTGTTGATGTTGTGTGGCTTAAAACCTTACTAAAATATACGTGAATAACGTGCTCTAATCATCCTGTTATCTAGATCGACAACACAAGTTCCATAGCTATGAATGTAAACCCTGTGTTTCACTCACGTTCGAAACATGTTGAGTTGGACCTCCATTTCGTTCGAGAAAAGGTTGTCACTGGTAATGTTAGTGTTAATCATGTTCCTGCTCGACGTCAGTGTACAAATAGTCTAACCAAACCATTGTCGAGACCTTATTTTTTTTCTTCATGTTTCGCAACAAGTTGAATGTCTTTGGGGATGAAGTTGAAACCATAGAAAATAAGGAGAATGTTATCTACTAAACAAAAACAAATATTAGCTGGTTTGTTAAGATGGGTATAACGGCATAGCAAACTAGATTCTTCTAGTAAGTCTTCTGTAAAAGGATAAAAATAATTTTTTTGTTAAATAAAACAAAGCAGTGCATTTTAATTGTCTACAAAAAAAAGGTTCAACACTTTGGAACATGTATACTAGTTATCTTAAAGAAGATTATAATAATTATTATATATTTTTAATATCTCATGGCATAAAATTGAATAGCCATTTGAAAATCTAATCGTTTTTAATTGTTATTATAAAATATTAGAGTTGCTTTTGAAAAATTAGTCCCAAGTTTACAACTGGGATAATGATGTGTTATCTTAGAATTGTGTCATGTATGTAAAAATGAGTTCAATCAATTGTACATTTTTTTTTAATTTAAATGACATATGTAAAAGAGAAAATAATTTCAGAGACCGAAAATGCCTTATAATATACGATTTTAACTAACTCTTTTTTTGATTTGCGAAAATAACCAACAAATTCGCAACACAGTTTCCAAATTCACAACGCGATTCTCCAAATTCGCAACGCGATTTTCAAATTCGCAACGCTAATTATCGATAGAGGTAAACACAACTATTCGCAACTCAGTTTTCAAATTCGCAACACGAATTAGCCAATTTTGCAACTAAATTACAGATATAGGTAAACTCGGTGGAAAAAATCCGAATTCGACAATTTGAAAACTGAGTTGCGAATTTGGCAAATTCGTGTTGCGAAATGTAAAATCTCGCCTCTTAAAGAAAAAATCATGAGTCTTTGTCAAGTTTAAAAGTGAGTAACTAATCACAATTAGTTCAATATGATTAGAAGTTTTTTTAGTTAAATATGATTAGAAGATTTTTTTAGTTCAATATGGAAGTCACACGTTGAATTTTGATTAGTAAAAAATCTCGTTGCGAAAACGAAATTCGCGTTGGGAATTTGAAAACTGAGTTGTAAATTTGAAAACTGAGTTGTGAATAGTTGTGTTTACATATATCGATAATTAGCATTGCGAATTTGAAAATTGCGATGCGAATTTGGAGAATCGCGTTGCAAATTTAGAAATTGTGTTGCGAAATTAGAGATCGTGTTGCGAATTTGTTGGTTATTTTCGTAAATCCAAAAAAAGTTGATTAAAATCGTATATTATAAGACATTTTCGGTCAATGAAGTTATTTTCTTTATGTAAAAATATATCAAAACATCTACATTTTTTAAAAAAAAATTAATCATTAAATATCATTTTGATAAATGATTGAAAATAGATATTATTTTGATATTTAATTATAAAAAAAGTATATTTGGTTAAAAAGCCCTTTAAAATACCTGTTAAGGAAATAAAGTCTTAAAGAAATTCCACAACGTAAGATACACTCTTTGAATAATAATTTATTGTACAAGATAAAAAGAGACCACAATACAAAATAGACTGTAAATAAAAAATAAAATTAATTTTCTTTTATTTTTTTATTTTTTTAAAAAGTGAGGCTGTTGTAATTAATTCATTCAACAAAAAAGAAATTATATGGTATTTATATTTCAAGTTTTAATATCTAAACTATCCGTTTTTGTTCGCTTTAGTATCTTTTCTATTTTTTCAAAATCATACCCAAAGTTTAGTTTTTGTTTCATTTTTAATACTTATGTTCAAAATTTAACGTTAAGTTTTGGGAAAAATTGAAAGTTTAAGTACTAAAACATACCAAAATTGATAATTTAAGTACTAAACGCGTTAAGTTTTTAACATTGGGTACTAAAAGGAAACAAAAACTAAATATTAAGTATGATTTTAAAAATCAAAAGTTTAGATACTAAAACAAATCAAAACTGATAATTTAAAAAAAATTGTTGCAAAAAAAGACCACTATGCAGCAATGGTTTAGACAATACTAGAGCTTAAATGGTCGTCTCTGAGGATGGTTTGAACCCCATCTGGAGGCTGCTGAAATTGCAAGAGACCAGGCGAAATATTTCTTCCCACATGAGCTAGAGCATCGGCCAATTTGTTCGTCTCACGGTTGATATGGGAGATCTTAACATACCAACTTCTGCTAAGGAGTTCACGTATGTGACGGGTTAAAGCATCGTCGAGAGCATGGGTGGTGAAATTGATTCTTCGAACGAGCTCGACATTGTCCGACTCGACAAGAACGTGTCTGAGCCCTTTACTCCACTCAATATTCAAGCCATCGAGGACCCCCCCCCCCAAAGTTCAGTTTGATATATTGAACATCGACAAATGTTGCGAGCGTAGCCAGTGATCCAAATTCCATTGCTATCTCTAAGGGCTCTGCCACTCGCTGCTGCCATGGTTGCACGATCCACCGAAGCATCAGTGTTCAGCTTCACCAAATTAGCGTTCGAGTGTTGCCAATTGTGCTTCCGACTTTGAGGTTGTCTAGCTCTCACTCTATTGTCTTTGCGGATAACTTTTGCCCATGTCGAAGCCGATTTAATAATCTCCGGGATAGACCAGATTCGCCCCCGAAAAATAAAATTGTTCTTTTGCTTCCAGAGTCTCCAAGCGAGGATGCCAGGGAGGTGATGCCACTGGTAATCGGCGTGGTTCCAACCTGCGTTATGGTAAAGGTTAGCTAAAATGCCGACTCGTGTTCCTGCCCATGACATCTGGGTACCTGTATTTTCGGGTCACGGGTATCCGATTCATATTTTTTTTATTTTTTCTTTAAATTATATTATTTTTAATAATTTATTCTCGTTAAATAACCGGATTTGATTTATGATTAGTGAAAACCTCTGAGCACTTGTTGAAGCTATTCAAGATGGAAGATGTGAGCATGGGCATGTGGGTGGAAAAATTCAACGGTTCGAAAGCAGTCGAGTACAGGCACAGCGTGAATTTTTGCCAGTTCGGATGCATCGAGAATTATTACACCGCTCATTACCAATCTCCGAGAGAGATGATATGCCTGTGGGATAAGTTACAGAAGCATGGAAAGCCACAATGCTTCAACATGAGATGACAACATTAAAATTAAACATAGAAATCGATCATGGTTTTCACTCACAATGGGTAAGTTTGAGTAAGGTAAACAGAGATAACAAATTTTGCTGTCATGGTAGATCTCTGTATATATGGGGGCATTTCTTAATCCCCTTAAAATGAAAATTAATTCTTTACTTGGGCCATCTTATTTTTTTTGCTTTACATTTCACCCCTTTCCCTTCCAATGATGGGACATATATAAACATTAGGTTGAAAGATGAATTGGTAATTCATTTGATATAATATTACTTTTGTAACTTTTGGTTGAAATAAAGTCATTTGAACAAATAATTATCAATTTACATATACCTTATATAAATGGGGAGAGAATAATGCCATGGCATCTTTTATGACACTTTTTTTTCTGTGAAAGAGCCTTTACTGTGAAAGCGATTCCTTTCAATCGGATAGCACTGAATCATATTCCATGGACCATGAGAGAACCTTAACCTCTAATTTTATCGCTTTACATATACACTCCCTGCTCTACAGATCAAAATGCAAAGTTACTTCATCCCCAAGAATATAACAAAGGGTGAAAGTACCTGAACAGTCCCCCTACTATCATCAAGTAAGCAAATAAGTCCCGCTACTAAATAATGGACCAATCAAATCTTCGTACTTTTAAAACGGGAAGCTAGTTGATAAAACTGTGAAAATAATTTAAGATACCGACTTAGCATGTGTGTGGAAACGGAAATTCGACGTGACACTGACGATGATGACTAAGATATAACGAAGTGATAATATTTTTGTACGACATGGGTTTTAAATACAAAAAAAAATGTACACGTGGTAGTGTCGATTTTAGCAACTTAATTCCATTTTAAAAGTATGGGGACTTATTTAGATGAGGGACTTATTTGCTCACTTTATGATAGTAGAGGGACGGGTTAGATGCTTTCACTGACAAGCCAAATGTTCATATCCATTGTCAATAGACATGGTTAATTAAACCCTTTTTTTATGTTTGAAATGAAGATAAATTACAACAATTAATAAAAGCATTTCCCCTTATCATATTGCAAAAGTCCTTGAAACAACAAAGCAATGTCAAATTTGAACATTTTAATTCAATCTGGAACTTGGAATTTTGCCCTTCTCCGAGTGGTACCCTATAGCAGTACCATGGCCAGAATCCATACCAGAGGATACATCAACAAAGTTCCTGCAACCATTTAAGGTTCCGATACCAACAGTGTCATCGGTCAGTGGTAGCTAGTGATTGATATTCAACATCCGGTATCGGACTTTAAAAGAAAAGAAAAAAGATGTGGATGTTAAATATGGAACAAATACCTGTCTGCAGTGGGAGTAGCCTCAGACCATTATTGAACGATGATACAAAGTAACAAGTAGAAGTGGTGTTTACGCCATTAAGACAGTTGCAAATAAACGAATTGTAGCTTCCGGTGTATCCGCAGACTCCACCGCTTTTCTCGCAATCGGCACACGGGTTCGGATAATTGTTATACACGTTGAATTTATATTTAAGCGATATTCCGTACTTCCAGTTATCAGGGTTTGATTCTTGGCCACTGAAGCTGTAGAAAGCGGAATACGAAGAGCACTGCAACTTCTGCAAGTTGAATTCGAATGACGGGCCGAGATCGACCGGCGTGTAAACGCAGCACGAGGAAATCGGGAGATTGAGCATGCTAATTGCCCTGCAAGAGTACAAGTAACTACAAACAGGTGCACCCTGTTTATCACACAGGGGAACGGCGCTACTGTTATCGACATTGTAACTGTTGGATCGGAAAATGGGTGACGAAGTGGTCGAGCAGTCGAGGAGAGTGAAAATATTGTCGTCTGTGAAAGAAAAGGGCGCATCCCAGTCTAGGCCGAAGCCTTTGCTAGGCTGAGTGCAACTGCCACAAGTCGACATCGAAGGATCCGAGATGTATACGACTTGGTTGCTGTAGTCTATGTTGGTTATGGGATAGGTTCCGGTGTGTGTCCTCAAGGTGAGTGTTTGTTGGTCACAAGTTACGTATTGCTGAAAGCGTGGATCACCGCAACCGACGCCAGTTCCGAACGGATACTTCATCGGGACATTGCCACAGGCTCTTTGACAGGCCTGAGACGAGACAAGGGAGGGAAGAAAGATCAAAGAGATCAATGGGAGGAGAGCGAAGAAAGAGTAGTGTTTTAGCTTCATTGTTTTGACTAAACTTAGAGAATTCGAGAGGGAAACAGGGATGCCTTCATTAGCCCAGTATTGGTATATATTGTACCAATGAATGAGTGGTCCGGTTCTGGAAAAACGATAATTGGATAAATTTTATCTCGATCCCTTAACATAAAATTTTACCTACGGTCTAGATGGATGGATGGAGGAATGGAAGCATCTTGTGCTTTTTTGTCATACGGGGAACGGTTGTATGACTTTCGGTGTGAGGCTGGCAAGCTTTTAGGGTCCTTCACTTTTCCCTATTTGTTTAGATGCCTTCACTATTGCTGGCTTTGCTGTCGGATATGACTTGTTTTCTTCTTTATCTGCTTTTTAAAGCTTCTATTAGTTGATTCAAGACATCTTGGTTCGATCGCCTGCAGATCATAAAAAGTAGACCAAGTTTCACAGTCAAAATCACAACTTGGAGGAATAATCATAAATTTACAAGAGACGAGTCATTGCACAACTGCATTGTTTTTTCTTAACGTGAAAGCAAAATGGCTACGAAAACTACACATAATTCCTCGAAATAATATTCGTTTAAATTTAGGTCATGATGACTATCCGTAAATTGTCTGATAACGTGAATTATCTGTGATTATTATCAAGAGACTGGTCGGAAGGAAAGATGGCAGAAATTTCATACGGGAAATAAATGGAGTGCCGAATCTCTCTTACACACACCCTCTAACAAGGTTTAGGCTTAATTAACACTACAGTCGAGAGAATATTAAAAGTTCCAATATATTCCATTTTATTACAGCAAATTTGTCTTCTTAAAGAACCTTTTACTTCTTCGGAACAAATATATAAACTATTATTTGAGACTTACAATTAATATGATACGTACGTAGAGGTTTCTTTGATCATATATTGCTTCTACCTAACCCTCCACCCAGAAAAGAAGGGCAGCCATTGAACATAGAGATTAATAAAGGTCCATTATTCCCGCCACTTAACTGTCTTTCACTTGAAATACGCAGTCCACTCCCATTAAAAGAAGAATCTATACCACTTAGTAGCAGAAGCTTGTCAGCAGAGACAACAAAATTAAATGATTCTGAGGGTTAGATGAAGAAGGGAATCTATCTTTAATTGAGACATGGAATCGCCATATTCCACCACATGGGACCTATCAGTAATAGACTAATCAAATCTGGTCCACTGAAGCCGAAATACAATTATATGGCATAAATTATATATATATATATATATATATATATATATACATACACGATTTTTTACTTTACATTCTTTTATATATGTTAATAGTTTAAAGGAAGAGAGTGGAGACGATCTTTTGCTTTTTATTCTTTTGGATTTAACAAGAACTTTAATGGGTGTTCTCTACTGGAGTAGGGTAGCTACCGGAGATGTCAATATTTAATTAACATTATATCTCAGTTTGTACATTTGGCAATGCATGGCTGATATATGGCCCCATGCACGTGGGGTTAAATGGCCTTTGATTCTTAAGGGATTTTCATGCATGAAAGGCTAATATTTAGGGGTGTTAATGAATACACCGTTTATAAGTTATTTGTATATCGTTAGTTTATATTCATTTACTAACCTAGATAAACGAGAATAAACAAAATTTTAATGTTCATTTAATAAACAAACGAACACAAACATAAGTGTGTTTGGTTTGTTTGTAAACAAACTCGTTTATTAGCTCATTTAATTAGTTCTTTTTTCCTTTTTTTTATATTTTAAATATTGATGAAGATAGAGACTAAATTGAACATAATGTGAAATTTGGAGTTCAAATTTGTGAACTTAAAAATTAGTGCCATAATTTCACCATTTTTCTTTGGCTTATAAGAGTAAAAAGAGTGTTGGTTGTCGAACATTAAACGAATATCCTTACGAACGTTAAACAGGGCCGGCCCTGGGCATAGGCCAGGGGTGCGACCGCCTAGGGCCCCAAGCTTGAAGGGGTCCATTTTTAAAAATATTGTTAAGTTTAATAATTAAAAAAATATTTTTAAACGTATTTTTTTATTTCAAACACTCGAAAGTATGGTAATTTAGTGGGCCCTAATAATTAAAAAATATTTTTAAACATAATTTTTTATTAAAAACTCGAAAATATAGTGATTCAATGGGCTCCATTTTAATGATTCGAAAGGAAATTAAGTGTGGGCCCCCACTTATCTGCTTGTCATCACCTCCTGACCTAAGGCCCTTAAAATGTCAGGACCTGCCTTGACGTTAAACAAACGTGTTTGCGAACATTAAACGAACGAATATGAACAACTTCAAAATAAATAAATAAATATAAACACGATATTAAAAATTTAATCGAACCAAACATGAACACCTTTAAAAATAGATACAAACTTAACTTTTTTTCTCATTTAAACTCATATTCATTTACACCCCTGCTAATATCTTTGATTTTGTACAGCTTTGGCATTAATCCTCTTCTTTTAATTAGATAATTCAATTATTTGTTGGTTGAATCAGATATTTAAATCATAATTCTATAACCACTTTAGGTTTAAAGTTTAATTTATCAATACAATAATTTGGTATAATTAAAAAGATATTGAGTGACACAGCAAAAAAAAATATGACTTAAAGAATTTAAAGAGATGCAAAATTTAAAAATTTAAAAAATGAAGATTAAAATATTACAAAACAAATTTGAAAACGTATAAATCATGAAGTATTCAAAATATTTATAAATTAAAATTTTCAAAACAAGTTTATTTAAAAACAAATTAATGGGCCACTCGTTAGCTTGAAAATATTATAAAATTTAAGTGTTTTCTGTCGTCAGAAAAAATGCCACTGAAAGATGTGGAAATCTGGATGAATGAGCCTGCGTTTCGCATAAGACTTACGTGAGGTGTCGATCTTTATGGCTTTTATTACCATATGAAGTAAAGGCATCGATAGCTAAATAGATGAGGTATTAATTTTTCCCTATCTATTTCAAACCCTTTCGAGAAGCAGATTTCACATGCTTTGCTGAAAGGAGAATTTCAGGTACATTAGATTTCACTGTTTGAATGGCATTGATTTGTATGTTCTTTTTTTTTTTCATTAACTTCAAATCCATTAGATATGTTTATTGATTGTACAATTCATAGGGGTGAACTAACATTTTCCAAGTTATTTTCTGAGTAATTGGGCGATATATTGATATGCATGAAGCTCCCCTCTCCCGAAATATTCATGTTTAACCGTTTTATGTATTGTTAAACTATTGAATTTGGCTCCAAACCAATAGTGGTTTATGTACAAAGTTTAACTGAAATGAGAAGAGAATGATGAATTTGTAGAAATTGATTCAATGTGCTGCCTGGTTATGATTTTATTGGGCAATTGATCTCATTTAGCATTTAATAATGATAAAATATTGCTGAAACTATGGTTTGGCTGATTTGCTACCATACCGATATGTATTAGTCCTTATCCTATATATGCAGATTTTGCCATGATAATCTGCATTCTCTGTACGATGGTGTGATGAGAAAGTTCTTTCATTCTGTTTCTTCTGCATGGAGCGGAATTGTTGTCTTGTTGAACAAGGATCCTCAAAAGTTCTCATGATGGGTTTTTCCTGCAAAGATGAACAGGTTTGCTGTCTCCTCCCTGAGCCATTGTCTCCGGTGGTTATCTCATTGCTACCCCCAAACTTTTGCTCTGAATTCTGGTCTATTTATCTCAAAAGATATTTTGGCCAAATACTCCACTTGACAAATTCTGCCAATACCAGGCCTTTTCCCAATTATTTCCCAAAGAGACCTGCCATCAAGGACTCAGAACTTGTGTATCAAATCTCAAATTCAATAAAACTACGCCATTCTGAGGTCGTGTTTTAAAACCTTATGAGTCTAAATTTAGATCTGATCATTTGATTTGGGTTCTGATGGTCATTAAAGATGATTACAGTCTTGTTTTGGATTTCTTTAAGGGGGCATGCATGCGTAGGGACCCGACACTTGAAGCCCGTTGCATTGTGGTCCAAATTGCTGTAGCCTCAAAAGATTTGAAAATGGCTCATCGACTTATTCATGACTTCTGGTCAAAACATGATTTGGATATTAGTCTATCATTCAGTTACTTCCATGAGCGTTTAATTTACACTTACAAGGACTGGGGTTCAGATCCCAACGTGTTCGATTTTTTTTTCAAGTTCTTGTTGAAGCCGCGTTGCTTGATGAAGGGAGGAAGCTCTTCGACAAAATGTTGAATTATGGGTTGATTATCTCTGTTGATTCTTTAAATGTATATCTCGGTATATTAAAAGACCGTTTTGATGGGCTTTGGAGGGGGGAATGTCTCAGGAAAGGCGGGTTAATATACGGTTAATATACGGCGTTGCCGGATACATTAAAAGATATTTAACAAATTCGATTTAGCGCTACCGGAAATGTTGTCTAATAATAATGTAGTAAGTCTAAGTCATGAAGAAATATTAAAAAATTGTGTAACTGGCAAACTTAACTTGTCGGTTCGTGTCGATCCAAATTAAAAATGTGTTGATCCAAAACGATATAACAGGTAAAACTATGACAAAACCAGTATTGAAATGATAAAACCGGTAAAGCGCTACCGGATACATTTAAAGTGTCGGTACTTTAATATAAGGATCGACACTTCGTGAATTTAAAAGAGAAGCAGTTTTAAGTCCTATAAAGTGTCGATACTTTTAAAAAATGTATCGATCCACAACGATATACCAGGTAAAAATATGATAAAACCGGTAAGAAAATGATAAAACCGGTAAAACGTTACCGGATATATTGAAAGTGTCGATACTTTATATAAGGATCGACACTTTGTGAATTTAAAAGAGAAGCAGTTTTAGCGCCTATAATGTGTCGATACTTTAAAAAAATATATCGATCCACAACGATATAACATGTAAAAATATGATAAAACAGGTATCAAAATGATAAAACCGGTAAAATGATACCGGATATATTGAAAGTGTCGATACTTTCGTAAGTACGTGTAATAAATTATCGACACTTTCAAAGAAATAGGTAATTATCCTTTCGAAAGTATCGACACCTGACATAAAAGT